CACTTCTGAAAGAACGGAAGCGAGGGCAGGGCTTCTTCAGAGGACCCGAGGCAAGAGCAGTGTTGAAGCTCTCTCTGAAGCAGCTGGAAAAGGTACGTGTGGGTTGAAGGGAGGGGAGGAATTCAAACTTCATCTTCCTGGTGTGGTGTGGTGCTTTGGGCAAAGGCTGGAGGGAAGGGCCCTGGCTCGCTCATGCTCTCCCCCTCGCTAGCTCCCTCCCTTGTGTAGTTTGATGCAGCCTGCAGTCAGTGAAGCTGGGTGCGTGCACACACAGAAGTTGGATTGGATATCCCTCCCAATGGCTTGAAAACAGCTCCTCTGCCATCCCCCCATTCCCCCGCTGCCTTCCCCAAACACTGCCCCAATTGCAAATGCAGCATGCTGTCTGGGTTGGTAATAACTGGAATGCAATAAAGCCCACTCACTTATTTCCTGCTGGCAGGCTGGGGTGAGAGGAGAGGCAGAGAAACCAGAGGGGAGCTGATCGGAGCCTTCCAAAAGAACAGGGCTGGGGGAAAGTGTGTGTGCTACAGCATGACCTTTTGCCTGGCTTCCTGCCTCCTCCTGTGGTCTCCTCAGTGCTCGCTCATGCTCTCCCTCCCCAAGTGTAGTTTGATTGCAGAGGGAGCCACGTTGCCTTTTCAAACCTTGTAGTCAGTGAAGCTGGGCTGGATTTTTATGTAGGTGTGTGTGTGTGTGTGTGTGTGTTTGAGAGAGAGTGAGAGAGGGAAGGGGTAGGAGAGATAATCCAATCCAATTTCTGTGTGTGTGTGTGTGTGTGTCAAGTTTCAGGGTTCTGATTGGCTTGGGTTTATTAGAGCTTTGACACTGATTTTACTTCCATTCATGCCAAAATGATGTATTCAATAAAACAGTCGTTTGAGAAGGCTGAAAGTCTCAGAGTGCTGATTGGTTTTGGTTCATTATTCAGAATCTTGACATTAAATCAGCTCTACCTTTTTAAAGCTTTAATTAGCAATCAAACTTCCAGGGTCCTTAGCCCCAGCCACCTAACTGATTGCTTTTGCGAGGATGGAGGAGACTCAGAGAAGATCATAGAGATGAAATGAAGAGGAGATCCCGTAGCCCAGCCCGGTATGGGCCTGGTGCAGGAGATGCAGGGAGTGGCCCAAGCAGATCCTGGAACTTAGTCAGTTGTAACCTGACTGAAAGCCCTAGTGGAGAGAACCAACAGCAAGCAGTACGAGAGGAGACCTTAGGGACCGGAGACCTTCACTGAGAGAAGAACACACAAACATCCTTCCTGCCTGGCCCTGCCTGACCACTGAATTCAGGCCCCTGGCGCGGGGTGCCCTAAAAAGGGGGGAAGTGACTACTCCCATGCCATCTTCGAGACATGCAGTTCAGATAAGACCAACTGACAGTCTCCGAAGTGAGGCGTGGGAGGAGTCACACATGGGACATATCAAAGCTAGATGTCCTTGGGATGGAATCAATGGGCCTGAGCCCCCCGAGAGTCCAAGACTCTCTGAAGAACCCTCCTCCCAAAAGCTACCTCCGTGGAGGCGTACGCGTCTAGCCGGTAATGTCTGATGAAAGGTGATGGAGAGGACCAGGCGGCAGCCCTGCAGATCTCCTCTATGGGAGCCTGAGTGGCCCAGGCCGCTGAGGTGGCCGCACTTCTGGTGGAGTGCACAGTAATGCCCTCTGGGACCTGGAGTCCTCATGCTTCATAGCCTTGGAAATGGCTATGATCCACCTGCTAATGGTTGCCAGGAAAACCTTGGCTCCCCGGGTAGACATCTGAAAGGAGACGAAGAGAGCCTCTGAACACCTAAAAGGTGCTGTGCGCTTCAGGTAGATGCGCTCTTCTAACATCCAGCTGGTGCCATGACCTTGCTCTATCCCTGGAGGGCTGCTGACAGAAGTCCGGCAGGACTATCTCTAATGCCCTGTGGAAGGGAGAGTTGATCTTAGGCATGAATGTGGGGTCCAGTCTGAGGATGACCCGGTTATCCAGGAAGGTGCAGAGGTCCTCCCTGCTGGACAGAGCATTAAGCTTGGATACTCCTGGCTGAGGTGATGGCAACCAGGAAAATGGCCTTAAGGGTGAGAAATTGGAGGGAAACCTCCCTCAAGGGTTCAAAAGGTGCCTCCGTCAGTGACTGGAGGACCATGGGCAGGTCCCAGGTTGGGAAACAATGAACCACCGGGGGTTTCAGATTCGTCGCTCCCTTGAGGAAGCACCTTAGGACCAGATGCTGGGACAAGGGTGGGGAGTCCACCCCCCCAGGACTGTGGAGAGGGCAGAGATTTGTCTCCTAAGGGTGCTGGGGGGCCAGACCCTTTTCCAAACCTTCTTGAAGAAAATCCAGAACCTGAGGCAGTGAAGCCGAAGCAGGGCCAAAGTTCCTTGCTTGGCACCACTCTGCGAAAGCAACCCAGGAGGCGTTGTAGATGCGAGTAGTGGACTGCCTCCTGGACACTTCAATGGTCCTAATGACCTTCACAGAGAAATGACCCCCTCTTAGCTGTTCTCGCTCAATCGCCTGACAGTCAGATGGAGCCACTCCAGGTCCGGATGCTTCACAGACCCCTAGTGCAGAGACACCTCCCCTTGGGGAATTTTCCAGTGGAGAGCTGAGGAGAGCTCCACCAGGTCTGCTAGCTAGGGACGACATGGCCAGAAGGGGGCCACTAGAACCATCTCTGCTCTCTCTGACATTAACTTCCTCAGGACCCTGGGGATGAGGGGAAGGGGAGGAAAGGCATAGAGGAGACCGGGCGACCATCTGCAACGAAGAACATCTGTGTCCATGGCGCCCCTGGATGGGAACCTCGATATGAAGCTTGGCAGCTGGGCGTTCGCTGGAGTTGCGAAGAGATCCACTGCCAAGCGTGCAAACCTCTCACAGATCTGTCGGAAGACATTGGAATGAAGTTGCCACTCTCCACTGTCGACCGTATCCCTGCTGAGCCAGTCTGCTTGTTGATTCTCTATCCTGGAGATGTGCTCTGCTCTGATGAATCAGAGGTTCCTCTCTGCCCAGTTCCCCAACTGGAGGGCCTCGTCGCGCAGGGCCTTGGAGTGGCTGCCCCCTGTCTATTCACGTGGGCTTTGGCTGCCACGTTGTCCATCAAGACCAGGACATAGTGGTCAGTCACAGTAGTCCTGAAGTGGTGTAGAGCCAGATGGATGGCCCTGAGCTCCAACCAGTTGATGTTGTTGCGCAGGTCTGTTGGAGTCCAGCGGCCCTCGGCTATCTGGGCCTCCAGTTGTGCTCCCCAGCTGAACAGGCTTGCGTCTGCATGAGCACCTTCCTTGCTGGTTCTCTGAAGAGTGACCCCTTATCTAGGTCTGGGGTCAACCACCAACTGAGCGATAGGAGGACCTGGGATGACACTCGAACTTTGAAGCTGGCGTCGCTCGTCCTGGCTCTCTAGTGTGGGAGCAGGAAGCACTGGAGCTCCCTGGCATGGAAACGAGCCCAAGGCACTATCCCTATGCAACAAATGAATTTCCCAAGGAGCCTGGAAAGAAGAACCACAGGGACAGAGCGTAACTTGCGTATCTCCGGAACCAGCTAAATGATGCTGTTCCTACATTCCCGGGAGAGGAATACCTCTCCAGACACCAAATTTATAATGGACTGTAGGTGTTGGAGCCTGGTAGATGGTGCTAGATGGCTCTACTCGAGGTTGATCGAGAACCCCAGGGATCTTAGCGTGTCGATGGTGAGACCCAGGTCTTGCCTAACAGTGTCTGGGGACCTGGCTAGGATGAGGATGTCATCCAGATAGCAATGGAGTGGGACTGGGAAGGAATGAAGGTGGCCCGCGGCCGCGGCCAGCACCTTGGTAAAGGTCCTGGGAGCTGAGGCCAGCCCTAAGGAGAGGGCTCTATTCTGGAAGTGGCTGCCTTCATGGGAAAACCTGAGGAACCTACGATGTTCTGGGGTGACTCTGATGTGCAGGTAGGCCTCCGTGAGGTTGATGGAGGCCAGGTAACCCTGTCTGATGCCCTCTAGGATGGATTTCAGAGAGGCCATCTTGAACCTACAGTAGACCACTCTGAAATTGAGCAGTTTAAGGTCCAAAATGGCTCTCCACCCCCCTGAACTCTTGGGGACCAGGAACAGGTTTGAATAGAATCCAGAACCCTTCTCCCCCTCTGGTACCATTTCTATAGCCCTGGTGTCTAACAGGTGTTTGATGGCCTTAGCCTTAAGGGCCCGTTTGGCCGGGTCTCTGGAGGAGGCGAAAGTGCAAATCTATTTGGGGGCTGTGAGTGAAACTCCAGCTGGAGCCTGAGCTTAACTGTCTTGAGGACCCACTCGTCCAATGTGACGCGATCCCAGGCATCCGCAAATAGGGAGAGGTGACCGCCTATGGGGTGATCCACGATTGGATCACTTGAACCTGTGGAAAGGATGGCCGCCCTCTCCTCAAAAGAGCCACTTGTTCTGTTGCTGGCCTCTGAATCTGTCCCTTGGGAATTGCCTGTCCCCCTGCCTGTGAAACCTAGGAACCGGGTACCTCTGATTCTGGGAGTCCATGTCAGGCAGGCGGTAAGATGCTCTCCTAGGGTAAGGAGCTGGTCAGTGATCTGACCTTCTGGTCATGGCCAGTAAGACCTTCCACTCATTCACCATGATGGAATCCAGCAACAAACCAAACAGCTTGTCCCCGGTATAGTCAGCTCCTGCTAGGTGCCACTTTGCAAGAGACTCCACCTGCCAGTGACGCAGTCACAGCAGGCACCTGGATGCTACAGAGGATGACAAAGCTCGCGAGGCATACTTAACTGCATCCAGTGTGGCGGCGGCCGAAAACTGGGTGGCTGCCAGCACCTTGGAGATGTCCTGTAGCAAACGTACTTCCATGGCCGGAGTCCTGTCTCTTAGCTGTTCCAGCCATAGTACTGTTGACCTGTTAAAAAAGGAAGTGGTCGTGGCCGGCCTAATAGCCAGGTTATAGCCTGAAAGTACTTATGCATAACCATCTCCACCTTCTTGTCTTCTGCCTTGAGACAGTTGGCTATGTCTCCAGTCACCACCGCAGAAGCTGAAGCTAGGCTGGCGACTGGAGTGTCCATTGAAGGTATCTGCAGAGCTTGGGCGAAGGTAGAATTGAGATTATAAAATCTACGTTCATTGCCCCCCGGATTGGGAAAAGACCCTGGCTTAACCCACTGGGACTTAAGCACCTCTAGGAACATCTCTGGAGTGGGGATCTCCTCCACCTGGGGCCTGTGGAAGGGCCCCTTCTTGTTCCCTCTGCTAGTGCTGGGGGTGGCAAATGCAGTACTGGGCTCTGGAGAGGTGTCCAAGTCTGCTGTGGCCCTGGCCTTATGAAGTAAGGAACTAAACAAGGATGGGGGGGAAAGCCCAGTGATGTTCGGCGCCGCAGGGGCCTGGGCGCCCTCATCCTCAGAAAACCCCACCTCCTTCAACTCCCCTTCCTCTAGATCTGAAGCCTCACTGACCGTGGATGGGGAGTGTGACCTGGCTTCTCTGGTGGCAGAGGACCTGGGGAGGTCCTGATGACCCCTAGACTGGTCCTGGGAAGACCTACTCCTAGAACCCTGGGATTGGTGTTTCATTCCAGAAGCAATCCGTTGGGCTATGTATGCCCTGGCTAACACGTCCTGGAAGCTATCAGGAAACTCTGGAAGGGAGGGGTGCAGCTCTGGGGGTTGCAGAAACTACCTTGGCTCAGGGGATTGTGGTGCCAGCTGGTGTCTGGCAGGGCTGGGGACCCTGCACCCAAAGGGGTCTCCCCTAGCCTCCGATGGATGGGCAGGTGATAGGGGGGGCGATAGGGAGCTGCACCCTCTGCCTGAGCCCCTTGGGGAACCCAGGGATGCCACCCTGGACTCTTCCAGAACAGGGAGCCTGCGGGGGGAGCGAGATCTGGAAGGAGAGGGGCTGATGGTGGCCCTAAACCTTCTTGCAGAAGCCCTGGTAATCTGAACCTCCTTCCCAGAGGTTCCCTTCCTATGGGGCCTGGGGGTGCCTTTCTTGGTGGGGGACCTCCCTCTGGTGACTGGGGGAACCCCCCTGGAGTTCCCCTAACCCGGATCCGAATCCCCTGATGATCTGGGCCTGGCACCCCTGCGCCTTGCCGCCTCTGCCATAGTACTCACAGTTACGCTGTTCACCGCCTCCTCTCTTCTTGCTGGCCTCGCTTGTATTGCACATTGCCTACCTAGGCTCCGCACTCTTGTGCTCCCTGCCGCCGATCTGTGGCCCGACTGCCGGTGCACCGTCTGAATTGGGCCCTCCCCAGATTGCCAGCGGAATTAGGACCTTCGAAGCCTTTTCCGGATTCAGCAGTGTCTCTTCTGAGTGCTTTCGGCGTCCGTAGAAGGAATGCCGGTCACGCACTCACTCACATGCTCCTAAGATGGCAGAGGACTAAGATGGCAGCCGCCGATCTACTACCCGATTCCCTGAAGCTCAGGAACATTGGGGGAAGATTCTGCTGGGTCCCCGGTCCTCCCATGGCCTCCTGGGTGTGTAGAGCCCTATGAAGCGCACCACACGGCGTGGGGCCTCCTTACCCGATTATGCAACCATCTGGTCACCTGGGTTCACGCTAACCAGTGGCGCAGCTTGGCTAGCGACACTGAGCACAGCAAGGAGGGGTGAAGCGATCCAAAAGGTAAAAATCCTGTAAAAAATTCCTAAGTCTTCGAAGTGAGGGAAGAGGGCCGGAGACTGAGGTTAATTTGGGAAGAGGGCCGGAGACTGAGGTTAATTTGGGAGGTCAGAGGAGGAATGGAGGTGTGGCCTCAAGATTTACCTCAGTCTCCAGGGCAAAAAAGCTGTGTTAATACCCATGTGTGACTCCTCCTACGCCTCACTTCGGAGACTGAGTGGGTTCCTTTCAAATTGCTTGGAGAAATGTAAAATGAGCACTGGCTAAAGCAATGGAAGCATACAAAGTGCAGGCAGACAAGATACAGTTACTCCAGTGACCATTCCACATTGGGGAGAAAGTATATCTTTCCAGAAAGTAGCTGAAGCTGCCCTGGCCAAAAGTTGGGTTCAAACTTTATAGCACCTTTCTCCATAGTGAAAATCACTAACCTGGTGAAGTGGAATTAAAACTACCATGCCTACTGGGAAACCCACTGCAGTTTGCTTAAACCTATGGTAGGGTCAGAACTGAGGCCAATAGCCAGGATAGGTCCAGATCCAATCATAGTGGAAGGGGAGACACACTACAAGGTAAAAACAATCCTGGATTCCAGGTTATATAAAAGCAAGCTCCAATATTTAGTTCAATGGAAGGGATATCTAATATCAGAGGCTAGATACCATGTTTCCCTAAAAATACAACATGTCTTGATAATAAGGCCATGCCACATTTTTCTGGTGGGCAAAAATATAAGCCCTCCCCCACAAATAAGCCCCCTAGATAACCCCCCTTCGGCCAGGCAGAGCGCCGCTCATCAACCTAGTGGTATCCCAAAGGTGCCAAGCCACAGGAACGGGGAGAGGGGAGGCAAAGGTGATCAGGTTGCTTGACACTTTAGAGATACCACTAATTTGGTGAGCAGTGCTGTGCCTACCTGGAGAGGGGGGTTGCCGGGCAGCTGCTCCCTTGCAAGCAGACTCCCAAAGAGCTGGGCATAGCCTCAGGGGCAAACCAACAGCACAACACAGCAGCCATGAAGTGACCATGCTCATGAGCAGCCACCCGGCAAACTCCCTTTCCAGGCAGGCACAGCACCATTCACTGACCTAGGGGTATAGCCAAGCCATGGGAGTGCCTGTTCACTGCCACCCAGCTCCTGTGGCTTGGTGCCTTCAAAATGCCAATGAATGTTTGCTCCTACCAGGTTTCCATGGCGCCTTTGAAATGCCAGTGAATGGTGTTTTGCACAGCTGGAGAGGGGGTTGTGCGAGCGGCTGTTCTGCTCCTGCTTGTGCACCTCCCAGCCTCACAATGCCCTGGCTCAGGTCTCCCTGCAGAGCCAGAGCACCTCCACTGCTGTCGCTGCCATCCCAGCATGGCTTTTTCAGTGGCTTCCAAACTGAGTCTTCTGGCAGTGGCCGCTCTGGGTGTATTCTCTATGGTTGTACGCTCTGTGAGCAATGTTCCCTCTAATTTTTTTTCAGTGTGAGCAGAAAAGTATAGTGTCTGAGCGGCATATTTTCATGCCTGAGCACCTGAATTTTTTTCA